CTTTCGTACCAGAACTGGTACTCTTTAAAACGATTTAGTTTTGGTACTTTTTCCAGCTCATAAAACAATATTTATTTATTTCCATATATAAATTTTTTTATTTTTGTATATTATATATCTTGTTCGCCAACTGAAATTCCAATAATTTAAACGCTCTTCAATACAATTAAATCACGAAAGTTATCGTTTCGTGGTTTATTTGCAGATTCATTATTAAAAATCAAAGGGCGAATTAATTCAATTAATTTTTATAAAATATCGGTAATTTTTCTATTTTGAACTATGTAAATACATATTTTTCAGTGTAGAAAACAAAGAAAACAAAAAATGTTTAGAGCTGAGTGGCTCACCAATTTTGCATGGGTTCCCAAAGATGGATCAGCCTTTTGTGAGGCAAGCAATAAAATTCCAAAAAATGTTATTAAAAGATTAAAAATTTGTAATTATTAAATTTTCCTGAGTTTTTAACAGAGTTTACAAATTGTACTTTTATGTTTTTGTTATAGTTAGTATGAACTAAATTTTTATAGAAAAAAAATTGCAGAAGTTAAAATAAAAAAGGCAAAATAAAAAATTTTGCATATCCCAATTGTGAAAAATTCAATTTTCCTGAGTTTCGAACAGAGTTTACAGAGTTTTATGTTTTTTGTTATAGTTAATATGAACTAAATTTTTATAAAAAAAATTGCGTAAGAAATTAAAATACAACATTTTGCATATCGACACTGGGAAAAATTCTATGTGCAAATATTTTTTGCCATGAATGTAGTTCCTCTTAGCTTGTGTGATTTTTAGCTTAAATTTATAAATAATTTTTGTCAAACATGTATTTAGTGGAGTTAGCTTAAGTAACTTTTTTTTATTGAAACATATTTANTTTTATGTTTTTTGTTATAGTTAATATGAACTAAATTTTTATAAAAAAAAATGCGTAAGAAATTAAAATACAAAATTTTGCATATCGACACTGTGAAAAATTCTATGTGCAAATATTTTTTGCCATGAATGTAGTTCCTCTTAGCTTGTGTGATTTTTAGCTTAAATTTATAAATAATTTTTGTCAAACATGTATTTAGTGGAGTTAGCTTAAGTAACTTTTTTTTATTGAAACATATTTATTAAATGAGTTAAAAAACCTTTGTTGTTGTTATTATTCGAAAAAAAAAACATATTTTGGTGCTCTCGAAAGCGTTGTGGTACGTTTTTGGTAAGAGGAAAAATATGCTGGTGGCAACACTGCTCATAAGACTCTAAATGGGTTTTCTTAGTATTTCAAATGTAATTTTGTTCTGTGATTGCCCGTTTCTCACTTACAGTTGGAAGGTGTATGTGTATTTCAGTTTGCGTGTTGTGCTATCACATGCAATAAGGCAATTTGTGACAGATGTGACAGCTGCTGTGAATTGGCTGCTGCCGTGGCTGCCGTTGCTGCTATTGCCGCCGCCTGAAGTTGTAGTCTTCAAGGAAATTATTTAGAACAGCCAGCGGCGTGCTTCTTTTTCTCAGCCCATTTGATTTTATAGCATAGCATTTGGTGTGTTGAGGCGCAGCTCGGTAGGCGGCTTTATTGTTCTAGGCTCATAAAACGGCAGATGGGGTGGGATAACTTCGATTTTCCGCTTAATTACGGCTGAAGCACATCTCGTAGCGTTTATCTATTCTTTTCTTATCTGCTTCTCATTTTTCACCATTCGCTCAATTACTTTGGCTCAATTAGCATTTTGTTTTGTTAGCGTGCCGATTTTATGAAATGGTTTACGCCCCCAATAAAATAATTTAGCGAAGTTTGGTGGATAGGAGACGAAATGTACGTAATAGGGATTGGGGAATATATTTCGCTGTGCTAGTTAAGCAATTTTAAACAATTGCCGACAGTGTTGATACTCTAAGGGCCATTTTCTCAAGCGGGGTTTAAAATTCATATTTCCTTTAAATACAAATTTTGTTCTGAAAAAATTGCTTTGAAGGGCAGATACATTTTAAAAGAGGCTACCAGCTTTATATCTTTTGAACGCCCAGTAAACTGGGTCGCAAAAAATAAGTTAATTATTCCCTCCTTCCTTGTTTAAAAGCTCACTTTAAGATGATATTGGGTCCATAAAAACATCCGGCCTTACCGGTTATACGGGTGGACAGGTGCAGAAATTGTCGTGAGCGAGAGACCAGGGAAACCTTGGAGCATCTTCTCTGCTGATGTCCTGCACTATCAAAAATACGACTAAATACTTGGGGGCCTATCAATTCGAGAAGTTAGAGGATATCTCAAAAGTAGGGCTGAATTTGTGATGTCTACTTTAACGCGTAAAAACGAGCTCCAACTGGCCACGCTAAGGACCTATCGGTCTATGTGCGGCTCAACGCCGGGCGGATTAACCTAACCTAAGCTAAGGTCATTGTCTTAAATTTTAGTTTTTATTGTTTTAAAAAGAATAATCATTTATTTAATTTAAAGTTTAGAAACGTATTACATTTATTTTCAATTAGAAATTTGTGTCCTTTTTTAATTTAATTTTCTTTTAATATTTAGAATTCGTTTTTTAAAAACATTATTAAAAATATAAATTTTTTTTGTTTCAATTAAATTTCAGGAACTCCTTTTATCAAATATTTTTTCTTCTAATATTTTGGTGTTTGTTGTTTTAAAAATATAAATGTATATTTTTTATTTAATTTAATTTTTGGAAAACTCATTGCCAAAAAACAAACAGAATATAGCATAATGAAAATTCAACAGTGTAGTCCTTCGCTTAAGTTTAAAAAGCATTAGGATATTAGCTCTATCGAAAATTTGTGCCTTGAGTTAGTTATTCCCTAAGCCACTTGACAAGCGCCTACGTAGTACTGAGAGAAAAACTGCGTATGCATGCATAAAGTTTATACCATAAACTAAAGCAAAAGTTACTCAATCATCGGACGCGTTGCACACTTCTAGGCAGGCTATGTGCTGATTTGGAGACAATGGTATGCAAAATGCACACCCCACTGCTACAGCAGCTATCTATTTAAATTTTTCCTTCCTACATTTTCGCTAAAATAAATCCAATCTTTCTTTTTACGTTAATTGTTTCAAACTTTCCAAATACTTTCCTTGCTTCATTGTGTTTTTTTTTTGTTTTCGTTTCTTTGCTTTTGCTTGCATGCACAGCACTTTTAAAATTTTCCAATCCATTTATCAACACTGTGCTGTGCAAGCACTTTCATTAGTAATCTAATCGAATAATCTACATTTCAACTGCAGTACTGCTCTCGACAGCTCAGCAAATAATGCAGGCACCCCCACATCCCACCATTCGCTGTCCGCATCCATCCTGTTGCCATAAGTACTTTTGCAATGCTGGTATGTACGTCAGCCCCGTCAGCTGCAATATTCCATCGCTCAACTTCGTAATTCAACAAATTCACTACTAGTTCATTGCTGTTCAAGCAGCTGTCACAACCGCTTTTGCAATCATCTCACTAATCATCTTTTCATTTGGCATTCAGTAAAGATTTCTTTTACAAATGCCAGCTGTAATGCTCACTTTCATGCTTCAACTTTTTGCATACATACTTAGGGGGGCGCTTATCGCCTTACCCACCACCCACCCACTAACACCTGCCGCCCATTAGTTATTGTTTTAAACAGCTGTCATGTCTCCGTTTGCATTTGTGTCTCACTAATCATCTGCTGTTGGAAGTTGTGCGCTACTCTTTTTTTTTGTTATTTTATTTTTTTTTTGTGAATATGGCTTGCCAACATTTCTTGTTGCATATCCTTATTTATAGCACGCTTCACTAGCTAGCTGTTCATTGTATTTTTCTTTGTATTCTTTTTGTATGCCTATCCTCAACACCACTTACGGCCACGTGGCGCTGCTACGTGCTCTTAACCCAACTTTGCATTTTGTTACTGTATTCTCTTCAGCACCCAAATCCTTAGCGTATCAATGCCTGCTTTTTCAACCTTGCAACCTTACAACCCAGCATTCATACAAAGTACATAAGTTCATATTTCAATTTTTTTGCGCTCATTCACCACTTACACAGCCTGTCCAATCCATTCCTTTGGCCGGCCATCAAGCACACTTCAATCACTTGGTTGGCCCTGGCCGATCCTTCGGCCACTTTTAACGACTTTTTTGTGCACTTCCAACTGACATTGTTGCTTGCAGGTTCATAATTTTTCACCTTAATGACCATGCACATACTGTGACTCGTGAAAAAAAAGCAATCACACACACACACGTGCCTAAGCAACCACTCGACAAACTCATGGATCGCCCATTCATTTGTACTCGGATGTACTCCACACTTCACTTGGCCACACACTTTCACAGCGCACTGTGCTGCTATGAATGAGTTCGAGCGTCGTACGAGAAGTCAGCCAGCACATATACATACATGCATGCTTACAATCAAGGCGTTACACATTCTCATTTTGTCTTTCCCAGCGGGTTGTGCATCCAACTCACCCCATTTGGGCTTCTCTACAACAGTTATCTGGTACTTCACCTCCCCGCCAACCTCTTTTCCCATCTCTAGTGGGTCTTGGTTTTCTTCTGTCTTACTGTCAATGCTATGCTTTCTTCAGTGTGGGCTGCTGTTAGGCATTTTAAGAAGAATTCAGTGCTAAGGCGGAGAGAGGCGGGGGCCTGTTGAGTTGGGAAGCCGTTGTCATTTGACTGTCGCAAATTGCTACCAAGATAATCGCTTTATTGCCAATATTCTGCATACGTTTACGCTTTTTTATAGCATTTTAATAACCGTTACACCCCTAGCTACAGTAACTTTCAAGCATATGTTTAACTAAGTGTGGTAAAAGGGGTGACGGCAAAGAGATCGTTTGCAAAGGAAGTTCAAGGAAAAGGTCGTTTAATGTTGCTATCGCGCGCGAGTTGGGAGCTACATACGTATGTATGTATGTGGGATTTCTCTGTCATTTACCGTTTGCCGTTAAGCATATTACTTATGCTTTGACAGCATATTTAACGTTGCTGATATTGTTGTTGCTTTTGCTATTGCCACCATTACTAGCTGCTTGTTTTCGAACGCTTCTTACATTCATAGATAAATATTTTATTAAAATTTGTGGTGTGCTTGCGCTAAATGAAGGTAGATAAATTAATACTCCCAAATTCACTTTTTAATTACAGTTTTTTTTTTTTTTTGTTTTTACATAGGTTCGCTGGCGTCTTTTTTCCAACTCCCTTAGCGTCAAATTTTAGTTGGTTTCACTTTTTAGTTGAATGCGTTGTTTTTGTTTTCATATACTATTCCATTTAATTCGTTGTTTTTGTTTATTTCTACTAACTACATACATACGTACATACTTTTCTGCTGATTAAATTCACTGACACGAAAACTTTTCTATGGCTCACGCACGATATACTCTTTTGTTTAGCTTTGCCACAGGAGTCCTAAGCACTTTTGTGGTTTTCTATGTTTGTGCATACATATATACTCTTAGATATGCATGTATTTTCCGCGTACGAATACGCACGAAAATTCAATGCGTTTTTATTATACTAGTTCAAAGTGTGACTCATTCACGTACTTTTACCGTTATCGCATTACACGTGACCGCAATGCGCAAAGTCAAAATTCAAACTAAACTCGTTGGCCGAAATGTTTGACTGCGCGCTGCTAAAATCAAAAGTGCATAGAACACAAGTTCGGCTAGTGGCAACGAGCAAGCGTATGAAATGACGACAAGCCCACTAATAACCGAGCGAAAGTCGAGAAAGGACTGTTGATGTAGGATGGGTGGGTGTCCTAGTAGAAAGGCTTGTATCCCGTACGGGTTTCCTTTGAGTGGTTTTTCTGCTTGTTCGAAGTAGACGATGAGTATGTTCGTCTGCGACCGAGTGTGTTCGAACGAAATGCTAGGCGCATGGAATGTACGAAGGATGCAAGCCAGCTTGCAGTGGTGGAAATTTTAATTTTGGTAATGTAATTTATTTGAAGTTAGTAAACAAAACCTGAGAATAGAAAGTAAAATCTCCTTTCATAAAGATAGCCATGCACAAAAAAAATCTTTAGAAGAAAATTAAATGCTGTCTTTAAAAAATCTAGCCTACCAACATTTTGAGCCGTGGTTTCAATTAATATACAATGTTTGGAGGATATAGGAGGGTTCTGCGGGTTAGTAGAATAGAAGGCTGAATAAATTTGCGAAGCGCTGTAGCTTTAACACTACTTTTTTAGTGCCGGCATAGCTGGCAAATTTTTGTTATGATATCTAGTCTCTTGTGACGTGCCGTATGATTCTCGAAATCACCACGTTAAATCTCTAAATGAATAAAGTTTGTACCTAAAAATATACATACAGACAACGCCTCCAGCGAAACATAACACATCCAAAATGCTTACGGTATATAATGAAGAAAAACTACCGAAGAGGCAAATCCTGGAGCTCTGCTGGGTCGTTCCACTGAATTGATATGCCCTTTCTCCAAGCCACCACATCTCCACCGCAGAACAGCGTACGCCGATGGGTGTGTCTGGTCGCTAGTATACGAAACCTGGGTAACAGTCGATTTTCAGCTTCAACTATACTTACTGCGGTGGACTGCGTGGGAATGAAGGAGGTTCTATTCCCACCAAACATTTTCAGACTATACCGGTGATGCTTAGGAATTAGTACTCCTGGTATTAGCATGCACGCGGTCAATGGGCTGTCCTAAGCCTGTGCGAACACAAAAAAGGCAAGCGTTCAGTGGGCCTCTATCTTTGGTTCCCACAAGAGCTCCGGCTGGCGGCTAAATCATCTTCAGCCTCTTAGTCGGAGAGCATGGTAATTCCGAACAACATCAACGTTCCCTATAAAACTTCAGGAATAACAGAAGTTGGCACTTTGTTGCAAAGAGTAAAATTGGACTCTCATTTGTTCATTTAAAATTTTGGGATAGGAAGGAAATTTCTAAAACAGGTTTTTTTCCGCGGAAGCTTAAAAAAGCTCTTTTTATATGTGAAAGCTTCAAAAAGCTCTTTTTGGTGTTAAAACTTCAAAAATCTAAGCCATCTTACAGTAATCTAAACTTTAGATTCTAAAGCACCAACTGGGACGTGTAGACTAATATTTTCATGATACTTACTACGGACAAATGGGTGAGCTCTTACAACATGATCATTTTAAGCTTATCTTCGAGCTTTTACCCCCAAATTTCTACCGTTACCATGAAAATTCTTACGATATTTTCCAAATCTCTGCGCCGAAAAGACGTAAGCACACCGAGTTTCGTTAAGATATCTCAATTTTTACTTGAGTTATTGTGTGCACAGTCGGACGGACGGACAGACAGACAGACAGACACTGCTTAATTGATTTCCTTTTTCATTCTGATCATTTACGTATACGTTTGTCGATTCGTTTTGTTTGTCACAAACAACCGTTATGTGAACAAAGTTACAATACCCTTGTGCACAAGTGCGCTCGGATATAAAAACTGATGGTCAAATGGGTACTCGCATTTGTGGCTCAGACGACGTGGTAAAACGGTACAACTACGGTACATTCATATGCAAGTACCATCACTGACACATGTTGCGTTCGGTTGTTGCATTGACACTGGCAAGTCAGTTTGAAGAGGAGAGGAAAGATTAAAAGCGACACTGACATGACCGACCCCAATGATGACGCTTACGTTGAGTTAATTTTAAATGGAGTCAATGTGCAGCAATATAGTGTTTGTACATAAGTATGTTTGTGCCAGTAAGGAAATGGAGGCAAGAAAGGGTTAATAGATTTGGAGAATTTAATGAAGAGCCGAGAGGGAAGCAAGAAGGCTGAGAAAATCGACGACAGCTGGAAAAGGGTCAAAAGGTAACCGACTAAGAAACCGAAAGTATGAGACTACATACATACATAC